CTCATTTCCTTCTTGGCAGCTGGACTTCCTCCCTGCCCTTTGGAGAAGTGGTGGCTGAGGTAAGTGCATTGTGTGGAGAGCAATCAATTGTTTGTCATGCATGTTTAATAAGCAGCTGGGGTGAAGCCAGGACACCTTGGGTAGCCTTGATAGCCATGAGTTTCTAAAGTGATCCAGCGTTTGACTCACGCTGAGTTATTTGCAGGGGAATGGAATGGTTTGACTTTCAGAGGGAGGTGACAGAGGTGGTCTTACTTCGTGGTATTTCCCTATCTGTGTGTCCTTTTTTTAGGCTTCCCTTCTTCGTATTTCTTTCTTTCAGTTGCTACCCTTTTTCTGAAGAAAAGTGCTGCTGCTGCTGCTGCTGGTATTTTCTCTCAAACTTGCCTCTTGTCCCAACTTCATGTCTCTCCCTGCTGAGAAGAGTGAGTGATAACAGTCCTGGGGATTTGTCCAGTGATCTCTTACCAGCCAGAGCTGCAGCTGTTGAAAAGATTTTTCAAGCATCTCCTAAATCAGTTTCTCCCAGCCCTTGACATTGTCCTCTCACTCAGATTTGGGTTTTTTATTGAGGGTCATAGTGGTTCTGATGAAGATTTGTGTACGTGACCTCAAGAACATTGAGGTGCAGGAGTGCATTGGATGCAGTGGGAGGCTTTCCACAGGCTTTGGTGCACTTTGGCTCAGGCTTGTGAAGAAAAACAGGAAACACTGGAAAACACAGCAAGGGTAAACAGAGCAGTTTAGTTACATTAACTGTCTAGAGGAGAAACTCCACGAATTACCCAAACAAACAAAGCAAGTGCATTTGTTCAGCATTGCTGTGGGAAAACAGAGAGCTGATAATTGAATTTAGCTTAAAAGAATTACACAAGAAATTGGCCAGCTCAGGTCCAGAGTATAATTCTGGCATCCTGACCCAGTTCTGATTGCTGAACAGGCTTCAGGGAGGCCAGAGCTCCCAGAGACTGCATGCTATTTTTTATTCATAGCAGTGCTACTTTAAAGCCTTGCTTTCCAAAAAAACTGCATCAAAGAGATCTGTTGTCGCTGCCTCCCTGTGACTCCTGATCAGATTTGCCTTGCTGTGATTATGTTAACAGTCAGGGCTCACACTGGTCAGTCAGCTTGTTTCTGGCCTCACACATGATGAGCCACACTAAATGTGCTGCAGGACTCCTCCAGTGAGGCAATGGTAAGCGATGCATTATTTATATTAGGAAAGAAGCTGGAGTGTAAAACCAGAGTCCCAGGGTGCCTACTCTGAGTAAACATTGAATGAGAGGAGTTGAGGAGCTGACAGTCTGAGCTGTCCTTGCTTGGCTTTGTGGAATCTCATTGTCTTCAGGAGGAGAATGTGATGAACTGAAAGGCTGAAGTTTCCCGTGGGGTTGGGATGGAGGAGTGACTGTGGCAGTAAGAGCACAAAGGGAAACTGAGTCCTGCTCGTCCATAATGGCTCTGCTGGCTTTGTAAAGGGTAACAGGCAGCATCTGTTTGTGGCTTCTGATAAAATGGACATTTATGTCTCAGGGAGCACACAGGGCAGTGCAGTGTCATTTTGACATTGCTACTTCTAATCTCAAAGCTTTTCTTATCAACTCTTTGTTCAAGATCAGTTCAGGTAAGAACAGAACTTCCCAAGGCAGAATATTTCAAGAGACTGATTACCTGCTTCTAATTCCATGTGAATTCTGAATAGCAGGTAAGATTAGATGGTCACAAATGAAATGTAAACTATTGATTCAGTTTGCACTGGTGTTTAGTACAAACACACACTGCTCTGTCCTGTTTTTTCTGTTTAAAGGAGGGGGACTGTTCATTAGTGAAAAGAATCAGCATGGCATTGCATTTACTGCTTGTTTAGGAAAACCTGGTCCCTTTGATGCAGGTGGAGACCCTTGAACTTTAGAAAATAATGTGTTAGCATGCGAGAGTATGCCTTAGTCCTGCAGGTCATTTAATCATTTTCTCAAGTGAGTCATTGTAAGGTAAAGTAGATGCTGAGAAAAGTTCTTCATTGCCAATTAAAACAGGCTCCAAAGGTGTTGCTGGTTTCATTCTACCAGAAACTCATCACTGAGAGGCCAGGAGGGGTTGCCTGTGTACCTTGAGGCCAGATCCCGAGCTAATATAAACTGGCAAAGCTCTATTGCTTTATACCAATAAAGGTATTCCTTTCAGACTCAATTCCTCTATGCTTGTGACTTTTAAAAGAATTTCTGTTGAGAAAACAGGAGTGATTCAGAAATGGGTAGATTTCCACACATGTAAGAATTGAATGAATTTCAGAAGAAGCCTGTAAATAACTTGAGGTGTGAGTTCTGATTTGTTCTTTATAGAGAACAAATTTTATCTGCCTCAAACCCCCTGCAAAATAAAGTTGAGTAAAGACTGGCAGACTCAGCATTTGTCTTAGGCAAGACATCTTCCATGAGATGAGGTTTAAAACAAAGTTAAGGACAGGAATATACTAATTAGTAAGTGCTACCCTTGTTTTTTGCCAACAAAACCTCACTCTCAACACATTTGACAAAAAATAATTGAAGCTAATCAGAAAGCTAAAGCATTTCTTAATTAACAACTCTAGACTAAACACTAGTCTTTTCTGGAAAGGATAAAATCAGGGATCCTAAAGCACTTACAAAGTCAGGAAGATGATTTGTTTTCAGCCTTTTGAGATGGAACACCTGATGTGCCAGCCAGGGGACCATTCAGGAAGCTGCCAGAGCAGCTGGGCTCAGGAGGGCTGCCAGATCCCATCCCACAGAAACAGAGCAGAACCCAAAAAGGACCCAGCTTTGAGCTTCAGCACTGTGGCAGTCACAGGGCAGACAAGCTGCAAGAAACCTTGGAAACCTGCCTTGGTCTCCCTTAGAAAAGTTAACAGGATTGCTGCTTGCCCATGAGCATTCAAACTGGCATTTTGGGGCAAACTTTGTTCTGGAAGGTTCCTGACAAGCTCACGTGCCTTGCTTCATGGTGCTGAGCCCTTCCTTTCCTGACTTTTAGGAAGGCAATCTTTAGATGGGCTTATTTGCATTGGAGAAATACTGCTGGAACTTTCATCCCAGCATGTGAGGAGTTTTCTCTGTGTGTAGAAACAACATGGGTAAAATATTTGGAGTGAAACCCAGGCTCCATTGAAGTCAATGGCAAAACTCCCATTCACTTCAGTGGAGCAGGAATTTCACTCTTTACTATTTTGAAGTTAGAGTTACTAATAGACTGTTAGATTATTCCTGCGTGCATCAAATAAAATGTGCTTGATGTTAATGTTTCTGCAGTGTTCAAAACCCACAAAGGTTTAAAAACAGGAATAACTATGGACTTCTGAGTCTAAAAATTACATTGAATGTAGTTTTGATAGAAATAATAATAATGTCCCTGGAGATAAACCTAAAATAATAGACTCCACCATATAATCTTTACTGTAAGCTAAAAATAGCAGAGATGGTGGTTCAATCTAAGCCATAATTATCAAAGTGCTGAAGTGGGTTTTGGTTCATTGCTACTAGAAATGGATGTCGTGTTTGGGCTCTGAACAGTCGAGTCCCACAACTGGCAAGAAGCAAAGCCAAGAGCACAGTCAGAAAGCAAACAGGAGCCTCAGATTTGTAGGGAAATAGCATGGATTAAACATTATTTAAAGGGACTGCTCCTGGCTTGCTCCAGCCAGCCAGCTGGAGACCCAGTGAGTTCTGTATTTTCAGCCCCAAATTGGTGATGTTTTGCTAGAAGGTGACACTGGCCATAGAAAGCACCTTTCTTCTGAAAGTAATTTTCCATTTCACTTTGAAATTGAAGGAGGAATGTTACTGTTTCAGAGTTACTACTCTGTATGATTCTGAAAAAGGGTTTTAATGTTCATTTTGAAGTAGGATGGAAAATCCTTAACTCACTTTCTCTGCCAGGCAGGTCGGTGTGATGGGCTGAGTGTAGGACTGAGTGTAGCAGGTGACCTTGGTCACACCATTTTTCCCTGTTAACAAAGTTTTACCTGCAGCAGAGGAGTCTCACCCTCCTGTAGTGGCAGCAGGGATTTATTCTGAACCTGAGCCTGCTGTAGCAGTCCAATGGTGATAGAAAGGTCCTGAGGGGGAAGATAGATGTAGGTGGAAGTAACACGTTTCTGTTTCTGAGTGCTTTTGGAAATCCTCACTGAATGTGTTTGAATTCTTCTATGTGTTTATGCAACACAATCTGCTGTTTGTTTAGATGGGGTTTTTTGCTGAGTAGGTCCCATTCTGTCCCTGCTGAGATGGGCATGGGGCAGTCTTGGTGCTTGTTTGGACAATGCTTGCAGAAACAGGGCTTGGCTTTGCCTCAGGCTCCAGTCTGAACACTGCTGCTAGAGTCAGAGCCTGATTTAGGTTGGAAGGGCCACTGGAGATCCTCTGATCCAACCCACCACTCAAAAAAGGATCAGCCTCAAAGTTAGATGACTTTACAATACCACTAATTTAGAAAAATGTTTTTCCTAACAGTATATTCCAAATTCACTCTGAGGCTAGAACAAAGGCCATCTCTAGGTCATTCTCTCAGTGTAACTGTAGGGATCCTATCCATTAGATTTGGCAAAGCAATCCAAAATTTTCAGTAAATATTCCAGTAGATACCCTTCTCTGAGCTACATCATTTCTCCTGGTTCACTTCTCGTAACAGTAAATATTCCAGTAGATACCCTTCTCTGAGCTACATCATTTCTCCCGGTTCACTTCTCGTGAGAGGAGGAAAGTCCATAAGAAGCACATTTAAAAGTTTCAAACACACAAATACCAAACACTTTGTGAAATTAAGGCAATGGATAAAATAAAGGAACCTCTAGTTCATTTATTTAACGGGTGCCCAGGGCTGTACATGGCTGATTGTGTGTTGTATGTGCAGCCTGTTGTCCAGCTGTTTATAGCTGAGAGTGTCATTGCTGAGGGCAGTGGGAAATGAGAAACCCACACCATAATTTGATGTGTTTTTTCTCTTGTATTGTTCTAATCCTACAGCATGGGGATGAGCCACGATGATGATCATCAGCCCTGTGCTGGGAGGTCTCACATCATGTCTGGAGAATGGGTGAAGGGCAGGAACCCAAGTGACCTTTCCTGGTCTTCGTGCAGCCGAGATGACCTCGAAAACTTCCTAAAGTAAGGATTGTGCTGTGTCAAAAATCCTACCAGGCAAGAATCCACTCTGTTGCTTTAAAGTGAAAGTGTTAACAATGTTCCTTTTAAAGAAGTGTAAATGTGGTATTAGGGTGTGCAAATTTGAATCTGTCTCCATTGCAATAGCACCTTGAAATTGAGGATTGAGGAGAGGCAGAAGAATTAAGTGCAGTTGTCAATGTGCTGATAACATCTTTTTTAAAATCCCATATCACCTTTTTTTTTTTACAGAAAATGCCCTTCAATTTTGCAATGACAGAAATCTGTGTGTAGGTGGCTTGCAGGAATCTCTGCTTAAAGATGCTGCAGCTTTATGCTGTGGCTTTTACTGTCTTGTTATTAAATAGTTTTTATTTTATTGAAACTTGACTTTGCCTGGAGGTTGTTCTGATGTGTTTTCTCACTCCTCAATGAGTGTTGGTCTGAAACGGTTCACTATAAACTTCTTTCCCACTGCATCCATGTTTCAGCTCATCATATTCAGTTGTTCAGGAAGGATTTCTGTCTGGCTGCTTATTAAATCTCATGAACTACAGGAAGCACTGGAATTATCTGAACTCTGCAGTTCTAATCTTAAATCTACAGTGCAGCTCTTTACAAACAGTGCCTGGCACAAACGGTGCCTGGCACAATGCTTTGTGCTAGGAGTGGGTTCAGCATGGGAAATTTCCCAATCTGGGGGTTAGAGGGGGGAAAGAAAGGAAAATAATGAATGAAAATAGGATATTTAATGCCACAGTAAAGGCATGAATTAGAAAAATAAGTTGAATCTGAACTCATCTGGTTGTGTCTGGCTCCTGATATGACAGTGATATTCCAATTTGTAAAAGGTTGTTGTGAAGGCAAAGAGAAAAATCTTCTTTGTTTTCCTGTGATGGATAAGAAAAAATGTCAGAATTCAGGTGGAGTGATTGAGGTGAGACATGATGGAAGACTTTCCAGCCGTCATTTCAAGGCGAGTGAAGCTTTGGGCTGGATTGCCTGAGGGCTGAATTGAGTCTCCTTCAGATTTCTAGGAACGGTTTAGACAAATGTTTAACCCAGAATGTTGTGAATTTTGGCTTAGACAAATGTTTAACCCAGAATGTTGTGAATGTCATCTGTCCTGCCTTTAGGCCTGGGGCTACAGGTGACTTCCCAGGCCCATTTTATATCCATAGCTCTCAATGATTTAGAAGATTTCCAGGGCAAACCCACAGTTTGACATGAGACTCCCTGTCAAAGAGAGGACGTGGCTGCTCTGTGGCAGTGATCTAACACTGCAGTTTAGAGGGGCTTTCCCTAAGGACATTTTTCCTTCCTGCCCTGCCCAGGTCCAAGGTGAGCACCTGTCTGCTGCTGACAGACCCCCGGAGCCAGTACTCCGTGCGGCTCCCTCACAAGCTGCCGGGGATGCACTACAGCGCCGATGAGCAGTGCCAGATCCTTTTTGGCACCAACGCCACCTTCTGCAAGGATATGGAGGTAAGAGCTCGTGGGTTGTAGCTGGAAACAAGGTGGGAAGTGGAAATAAAGCTGCCAAGCAGCAGGGGAGGAGAAAAGGAGTCTGTATTTCCCTCAGTTTTCAGCGCTGCTGGTGGAAAATCAAAGGGCCTCAAGCTCCGTGTCAGCCGCTCCTGCTTAGGCCTCATCCTTCTTTCCCCACACTGCCCTTGGTAATGTCCCAGAGCAGACTCAGAAAAACTGGTGTTTGCACGTTGTTCCCTTTTGAGATTGTTTTGCTGAAATGCTCTGTAGAGATTGTTTTCCTGGAAGTTCAGCTGAGGTGAGAGTCTCTCCTCACAAGAGTGCTTGGCTATTTCCACAGAGTCAGCTTAGATGGCTGGCTGGGTGTTCCCAGACTTCACCTTCACACCACTGCAGTGTTCTTAGGAGCTGACTCTTAACTCTGTGCTGAGGAAATATTGATGTCTGCTTCTTTCATGAGGCTTTACAGAATTGTGTGCAGAATCCTCTGTGTTTTCTAAGCAACACGATGTTTAATCAGGATTTGGGTGCAGTGCGGGGTATCATGGCGTTGGTTGGCAAAAAGGAAACATTTACTGTTGCTGTCTCTAGAAGTAGGTTGTGCTTGAGATGAGGCTGTTGGACTCATCCTCTGGAATTTAAACAGCCAGGTTTTTCATAAGGTATTACACATAATCAGATCTTTTAGTTCTGAACAGATCTTATCCCCTGCTTTAGACAGGGAGTAGGGTAGTGCCTGCTTCCAGTGTGGCCTTAGAGATATCCAAAAAAAAGTAAGGAAGCTGTGTTGGGTCAGCAGCACCAGCTGGCAGCATCCCCTCCTGTACAGACAGGCAAGAAGCAGACAGGTTTCTTGCTTTTAATAACTGGCCATTTGTATTTTTAGTTATCCTTCATTCCCACTCTGAACAAGCTTGGGATCTTAAATCAGTGTTAAAAAAGAAAATAATAACCAGAGATAACTGGGGTTTCTAAGTGCCAAATTACTAAAACTGTGGAACACGTGCAAGTCCTGGGAAAATGCTCTTAGTTTCACATTAGCTGTTTTATTTACTTTGGACTTGGAAGCTAGCTAATATAAAACAATAGGAAAAGAATCTGGACAGGTTGTATTTCCCAGCTCCATCAAGAAAATGCAGACCACCAGGACTACTGTACTGGAAGCAAAGTGTTAGAATATAGGTCTGTAAAGAAAACCTCAGATCTACCCAGCATGACTCAAGTTCTTCCACTTGTGTGGGTGTCACCCAGCTGGACTGCTCTTGGAAGAGATTTTTGCTATTTCCCTTGTTGTGATAAAAAACCATTTTGTTTCTGGATATTCCAGTGCCTGATGAGAATGTCAGCCCGCTGGTAGGTGGTCAGCATTTCTCACACAGGAGTTGCATGTCCAGTCTGGAATTGCTTCAGGGACTTGTTGTTTGCCAGAATAATGTGCCAAGAGGCACCATTCTCTGTGAGATACAGACAGCAGGTGTTTGTGCTTCCCAAGATTTTCACCAGTCTAATTATTTGACACTTTAGAACACAATGAAAAACGTGCTCTTTTTCTCCATCTCTCCTTTCTCCCAAAAGAGAAGCATATTTTGTGAGGACATTAGTTCTTCCTAATGAAAAGCCTGGTAGAACTTCAGCAGGTTAAAACTAATTTGCAGTCCCTTATTTAGAATTATTTCTGTTGCAGATGTGCATTAAGAATTAGCATTCACCCTGTGAAACTCTGGATCAGTTATGTCACATGCCATTAGTTTAAGCATGTGTTTACATCCTGTTATGCTACTCTCAACTGGTGTTTGATGGCAAGGAAAGGAAATTCTTTAGAGGAAATGATCACTTTTGATTTTTAAACCTCTGAAGTTTATGTTCATTTCACCTTTGTGTTCCTCAGGCCTCATCTGCAGAATACTTGTATCATAAGTCTCAAAGCTGTCTACAAAAATATGAACCAAAAAAAAAAAATTGGCACTGCTCACTGGCATTAGCTGTAGAAATTATTGGCAAATACAGCTGTCTCCTCTTTTAGCCAATGGTAATGTGGTATTTTTAATTCAATAAAGTATTAAAAAAATCCAAATGTAAAAGCAATAAACATTTGACAGTAAATATTTGTTACGAAAAGGAAATAAGCTTCAGGAAATGAGCCTGCTCAATCTTTTTATGATTACATGTGTCTGCTGCCTATTTTCTTATATAATAAAAGAGCTACATTACAATATTTCTTTGGAGATAGTTGAGCTGCATAATTATATCAGGCAAACTAGAGGCCCTATGCTCAAAAATGCCATGCAATTTGGTTTAGAGCAAACTTGAGAGGTTAGATGATTCCAAAATTTCAACATTTTTGAGAAACTGCAGAAAATTTCTGTGCAGTAAGCTCTCTTCTTTAACAGCATCAAAGCCCCATTTTTTGAAGGAATGTGATTTTGCTTTCACAGGGAGTCAGGTCCCTCAGTGCTTGGCAGTGGCTGGGCTTCCCACACCAGTCCAAGAAGATAGTTAATCCATGAATATTCACCCATATCTGAATTTTTGAGATTGCATCCCCAAAATTCTTCTTCCATTTTGTTTTAAGGATAACTCAGATGCCTTAGAACAAAAGTGTAGCTCTCTGTTTGCCAAACCAGCTATCCTGCAGCTCTTCTGCTCCAAATTTACAGAACAGAAATTAAAATATGTGAGCAAGGCTCAGCTTTACATACACCAAACCTCTACATTCCTTTCTCTTTTCCTTCTGCATTTTAATACACTAAAAAATGAGTTTATGACAGTCAGGTGATCCATAGCCTGTTGTAATCTGGGACCTCCAAGATGTATAATTCAGGATCTGGTTCTGTACTCTCAGTGTTGGGTAAGATTTTCTAGTGCATGTCACCTCTTTCAGGAGCTGTGAATCAGGCTTTTAGCCTGGGTTTCTGTTAGGGCAGGGAACAAGTGTCCAAGGCCAGGCTTGGAGCACCCTAGGATAGAGGAAGGTGTCCCTGCCCATGGCAGGGGGTTGGAACTGGATGAACTTTAAGGTCCCCTCTGACCCAAGCCATTCTATGGTTCTGTGATTAGTGAATCTCTCAAGACCCTTCAGTAGATCCCCCTTCATGTCCAAGTTACAGAGTTTTCTCCTGGAATACACAAAGGGATCAAAGTGCTTTTCTGTGGTGCTTTCTGTTCATCTTTCCCCTTGCAAATGTCAGGCATTGTCTGATCCATGCAAGGGTTTATCTAGCAGGCAGTACAAGTTTGCCCTTCCATTCTGCCTGGCTCCAGCTGGGAAGCTGCACAGTGCTGGGAGAGCTTTGGCCCACCTAAGAGGTTACACACTGACCTTTATTTTGAGGCAGACAAGTTGCTTTTAGAGAAATTAATGTGTCATTCTCAAGCTCTGAGCAACATCATGATAATTGCAGGAAAAGCTGGACAGAAATGCACCTCTGACACTGCACGGGGTGTTATCAGTGCACCCCAAACACTGAGATCCCAGGGGGCTCTGGCTGCTGAATGCTGCTGTGAGTCCAGGGCTAGCATGGGAGCAGTTGTGCAAATTACAGGCAATTCAACCTGTCTGACCTCTGTCCTTCAGCTCCACACCGGGCTATGAATCAACGATTGTGAATTCATTTGACCCCTCCGAGAGAGGAAGCAGAGAGCTGCAGCCCCAGCCAGGCGATGATGCCTGAGAGCAGGAGTTAACCCTTTGCTGTCCCTGTGTTTATTCCAAGAGGAATAGCACGAGTGGTTTCTGCTGAATCTCTCAGGGAGCAGAGATGGTGTTTCTCCCCCAGAAATTCATCAAAACACATTTGAAACCTCACATGGAAGCATTCTGCATGTTTAATCTTTATTTCTCAGGCTGGCATGCCTACCAACAGAGGCTTTTGCACTGAAAGCATGTTTATGGGGAAAAAATGTGATTTCTATCTCGTGCATCCATTTGGCTTTTTGTTTTATAAGCCTTTTGGCTTATTTATTATTAACACATTTTTGCGGGTTTTTACATAACCATTATTGTCCAGCATTGTTTTGAGTCAAAACTGGGCTGAGGCTGGAGTGGCACTTGGGAGGAGATTAGCATTGCTACCAAGAGATTTTTTTTCTGACAAGGGACACTGTCAACTCAGATGGAGCTGGGAATTGAATTTTGACATAGCAGTGTTTTTAGAAATACTAAACCAGCTAGAACTGGCTCCACTGTTTTTCTTAGGTTCAAATTGTTTTTTAACAAGTGTAGGTATTTTCCAATATCTACAAGCTGCAGAACAAGAGGGCAAAGTTGATTGCAAGCCAAAGGAGACAAAGTAGACTTCTTGGCTAATGTGGAAAAGAGAGGAACCAAAAACAAAGTAAAGAAAAACTAGCAATTGTAATGATCAAGTGGATTTAATGTTCCCCTTCAGTTTACATATTTGATGGTGTGGTGGTGAGTATAATTCAGCAATTGTAGGTCTCTCTGTGGTCTTGATCTTGCAGAGAGACTGCTGGAGTGGCCTTTTGGGCTCTGTGCATGGGAATCAATGGGCCTCTGTTTGCCTTTTCTCTGCAGGGCCGTTTGTGAGATGCAGACCATGATAGTGAGCCCTATTATTTAGTAATGTATAGAGTATTTACAGGAACGTGGTAATTAGATTGAATACTGGTTTATCCTGAAAATAATAGGTTACATTGTCATTTTCTGTACAACCAGGGACTTTGTCTGCATAGTAATACTAATAAATCTGGAAGAGGATGGGTTGGGTTTTTCTTGAGGATTGCAGAATAGAAGCCTGGCAATTCAGTCTAAAATAAAATTGGCTGATTTTTCTTTTTTTTTTTCTTTTTCTTTTTTTTTTTTGAGAAGTAAAGATAACAATTAACTTAATTGCCATTCTATAGTTTATAATTTTCCTCATATAGGTTGTTAGAATTCAGACTATTTTCATATTGCCTGTTTCTATGAAGCTGAAGTGTCCTATTTCACTGCTTCTGTATGTTGCAAAAATACCTTTTTCTCTTTATTTTCAGTGGAA